CCTGTGCTCCACAACGGGAGAGGCCAAAACAGTGAGAGGCCCGAAAACCAAAAAAAAAAAAAAAAAAAAAAAAAAAGGTGAAGAAAATTAAGATGCATTTGTGTGTTAAATATGGAACTTCAGAACATACCTTCCTTTTAGCTTGTAATATATTTTTCTCCAACTCAGCTGGAATCATCTTTCCCCTTAAAAATGCAAATACACATTGATTTCTTATCAGTGAATAAACAAACCAATTCTACCAATTAGAAGAATACATAATATTCAAGATTAAAAAATTAGTTTTTATTGTCTCCCAAAGGTATTTATAGGTGTAAAAACAACTATTAAGTAAATGTTTAATTGTCTAAAACCAATGTTAAATATCGTGTTATTTGAGTTAAAGAATGCTTAATTTACTATTCAATCATCTTAAAATCAGCATTACTTACAAATCAGAAGATTCTGATTTTTCTAAGAAAGATACAGATGATTCTTTTCTTTCTTTCTTTCTTTCTTTCTCTTTCTTTCTTTCTTTCTTTCTTTCTTTCCCTCCCTCCCTCCCTCCCTCCCTCCCTCCCTCCCTTCCTTCCTTTCTTTCTTTCATCTACCTAATTATTAACCTTTAATTATAAAGACTTCTTAGTATCAAGGTAGAAAAATCAAGTATCCAAATTGGGGGAGTGGGGGAAGAACATGACACAAATTCAGGTGGCCTCACATTTCTTCACAGAGAATTTCTGGGAAAAAAACCCAAAAGCCAATATTCTCCTACTCCATCCAGTTTTCAGACTAAAATCCTGTCTATTGATGATTCAGACGAAACATTTCTCTTAAAAGTCAGGAACAAGATAAGGATGCTCACTACCAACCATCAATATTATAGTATTTTTTTCTGAAGAAATACCTATTAGCTAGCTAGATGATTATAATGATGATGATAGATAGATAAAAAGAAGAGAAAAAAACCCTAATTTGAGTACATATGGTTGTATACCTGGAAGTCCTAACATTGTTTATTGAAAAACTCTTAAAAATGATAAGAATGTTGAGCAAATGGGTGGTTACAAAAATTAGGTTCCTATTTTTTAAAACTAATTGTTCTGAATAAACACAGAACATATCCTATTCATAGCAGTAAAAAAGATATAAAGTATCTGGGGGAGGGATTCTCAGGAAATGTTCAGGATTTATATAAAGAAAACCAAATGACTTGAGATAAGTATTGAATTATAAACATAAAACATATTTGCAAAATATTTTATATTCATATATTTTATATTTCAAAACTTTTCAATATATAAATTTTTTTTACAAGCCAATAAATAATAAACCACCAATAAAATATGGGCAAAAAACATGAACAGACAGATCATGGTAATACACAATTGGCTGGTCCATATATTGGCTATACATTGTCCCAAATAACTAAACGTCACCTTTGTCTATCAGAATTTTCAAGTATAGAAGTATTGATAATATTCAGGCTTCACAAGGTAGATAAGAGTATCAATTAACTGAAAAATGTTTGAAGGGCAAATAAAAATCTTTATGAAATTGTACGTGCAGACATTCTTTGAACCAATAATTCAACCTCTAGAGATTCACATGAGAAATATTAAAACACAGACACTCAAATATATTTATATAATTATATTCATTTAAGCATTGTTCTTAAATACTAAAATCTAGGTGAAAACCCTTTTAAATAAGATATGTGAAATTATGTTAGTTATAAAATGGAAAACTCCAAAGTAATTAAAAAAGAATAAGGAAGGTCTGTATAAATTCATGGGATAAGATTCCTAAGATATATTCTAAAGCCAAAAAAAATAAAAGAATAAGTTGCAGATTATAACACAGAATTTGATATGCATAAATGTATAAATACATTTGATATGCATCAAAATGATCTCCCAGAATATATGTATTTGTAATGTAGTTTAGTTATGAAAAGTAGGATTCAAGACAAATGGAAATATACTTTCACTCTGTAGATTTCTAATGCAGTTGAATTTTTCATCTCTAAACATCATTATATTGCTAACTGGATCTACTTAAAACAAGGAACGGATATGTGACAGTCTCACTGATTTAGGACTATACTTAGTAAAGAAGTCTTAACAGTAGGATAGGATACCTTGGTGCTTGTTTCATAATTACTTCTAGTTAAAATTATTGAAACTATTATGGGAGAGTATTCTTGCTAAAAATTGGGATAATAGAAAAATGGGATTTTAATCTTCATGCCAAGCATGATAATAAAAAATTTTGAGAATGTATTAAGGACATACCTTTCATCACATTTTGCTTCAATTACATTATCAGTTCCCATACCAAGGATTGCTGCAGCTTTTTTTTACTAAATATTGACCCTTGGGCAAAAATGGAAACAAGAAAGGTATTAATTCTCCTGCCTTAAATCATCACTTACACTAGTGCATCACTCACACTAGGGCTTATACGCATAGCTTTGCATGGGTTTGTGCATGGATATATATATATATATATATATACCCACACACACATGCAAGTAGAGTTCTTAAGGCATAGTTCCAGACCCTTATCATTACATTTGTTGAGATGAAGAAGGTTGTAGTACCTCTTTCTAGGAGGCACTGTCACAGAACACGACTCTTTAAATGCAGGAGTTTGAATATTCTCGTTCTCTGTATACACATGAATCGTGTCATTTATAAATTTAGTGACAATATCCTCCAGGTAAATCCTTACATGTTATGGACAGGTTTAAGTCTTGAATTTCCAATTTTTTTTAAAGAGTGAGGCCTGAAGAAATGAATCAATTCTTATTCTGCTTGCAGTTTTTAATTTTGACTTTGACATCAACTTTGATTTCTTGCCTTCTAGGTGACTACTATCTCCTTGTATCATTTGCATAATGTAAACAGTATCAGTAAGATGGAGGTGACAGCTCAAAGATAAACTTGGCCTGGGTTATTTTTAGCTGCCCGGAAAAGACCAGATATATGAGAGAAACAAGTAGAGAAATTTAAAATCCTAACCATATATTTTCATTTCAATGGAGAATGCATAGATGAAATAGGAAATGTTCTTTTTTAATCTGTATTGTGGAATTTCAGCTTATCTGCTCATTATATTTAAAAAGTATATGTGAAATGATGAAAATGACATTTGTAAACAAGCATCTTCAATTGTATTAAGTTTTATAGTAAATTACATTAAATATGCAGCAGTGGTCTCTAATTTGATAATATACATTTATATAATGCCAATTTGAGTTTGGCAAAGGAAAGACATTGCAAACATGGGGACATTTTAAAGAAAACCCTGTGTTTCCAAGTACTTTTAGATAGAATTCTCAAGCTGGGACTACAATTACACTTTAAGATTATAAATGTTACCATGGTAGAAAAGAAAAAAGTGATCGAATTTATTAGAGGATGAATTGATTTTTTAAAAATACGTATTGTTACTAGGCACAGGGTTGGAACATTAAAACTACAGGAGACCTCAATGGATATATTGTCAGTATCAGAAACATCTGGCTGAGGACCTATAAAAATAAAGCTTTCTTGTCAACCGACTCTTACAGTCCTAACTGGAAAAAGAAAACATTAAACACATTCTCGTTCTTTTAATTCAACTTTAAAGTGAACCATTATATATTTGAATTTTCTGTCTTGCTTTTTTTATGGTATAGGTAGCAAAATGTTTTATATTTATAATCACATTTTTTCTGTTAGTTTCTCCTATGTTGAAATAAAATTTTAATACTGACTTATCTGTATTGCTAATCTATAGAGTCTATACCAACTGGAAAGTTGTTTTTCCCCTTTCCAATATTAATCCATAGATCCAGACAGATTACTGAATATATTTAATGGAAAAATGAAGCTAATAGTCTCAGTCTTTCAATTACTTTATCAGTGTATCTTAGAAGACTCTTAAAAGTTGGAAAAATCTAAACTTTATACTTACTTGTTCAGAAACAAACAATACAATGCATGGAAGTGCTGTCATGCCTTTTGTTTTTATCTCTGGATATTGCCTATAACGAGCTACTAATATACCATAGAGGTTTGATATACTCCCACCTATGGAAGAGAAATCGTGACTGTTAATCTAGTTTCCAAAATCAGAAATGTTGATTGAAATCATGACAATTTGAGAGTTTTCTGAAACTAAAATTGTGCCAAATCACTGATGTCATTTTTAAAATAGCCTTCCTTGAAAGTGTTAAGAGAAAGCTCAAACAACACAATTCACAACTTTAAGATTTCTAAAAACTTTCTTTATAATTATAACCAACACAACGGCTTATGAACATTTATCTCTGGAAAACAGTCATATTAGTTGAAGAACATTTTGAGTGTCTCCTGATATTTCTTTTCGCTCATAAACATTTTTCTTACCAGGTGAAAATATTCCATCTGCTTCTGTTTCTCTCCAGCCAATAATTTCACACATTTTCTTAAGAAGAATTGTTTCCATGACAGTAAATACTGGAGCTATTTCGTAGGTAAACCTATAATATAGAAATTCTACTGTGAATTATATTACATGGAAGAGGATAAATAAAATCATGTGCTAGATAAGATTCTACACATTTCTGTATGCTATAATAGACTGTGCAAGAAATGGTTAAGTTTTATATGTTCTGAAGGGTCCCTTCCAGATGTAGAGTGCGTTAGTTCTACAAAGGAAGTATCAAGGTTTCCATGGTTTTGTGAGGTAGCTGGGAATTTCATTTTCCACCAAAAGGAATTTGAAAGCTCCGTCCCCTCAGCACACACACAACACTGTTTGGGACAGAAAATGTCCAGTTATCAAGAAAATATTTACACATTTCCTAGGGGACAAGTTAGAAAGACAGATATCTAGAGCTACAGACAATATCTTGCAGAACCTGAAAGAGCCTTTTCTAAAAACTGATTGATAAACGTTTTTCACCTAAAGACTGTACTGTGAGCAAACACCCCAAAAAAAGGCTAAATACGGTTATGTTTTCAATAACAGCTTGAAGCAAGCAGACGTTACAGGAACCACATGGGCCCCATGGAAAAGAATTCAGAGAGCACTGTTACGGGGACTCTCCTCTGAGTCTCCCTGTGAAATTAGCTCCAGAGAAAGAAGCTGGGATTTAAAAGAAGGCTCTAAGCTTTTCTCTATATGTATCCTATGCAATAAACAGTGATGCATGTGCAGTGAGCTCTGAAATCAAAAAATGGGTTCAGTTGTTCTCAAGAAATCCTTTTATTTGTTCTTAAAAAAATTGTAAAGATCTCTCTAAGTGTAATTATATATGATGCCGGTATCAGGGACCACGTATGTGCCACTTCAGATGTCCTCAGCTTTCTCTGTCTCTAAGGCCTTTGGATGTTATTCAGGCCCAGCCACCACTGTGACCACTTTAACTCAGACTCACCCACAACCCAATGGAGAGTCGCCTCCCACCCACACTTGCAGTCTCTGACCTTCAGCCCCAGGGTCTTCCTTTTGCCCTTAGTATCACAAGTCATGGAATCAGCTGGTAATGCCAAGAATGCCCAGTTATTATGTGTGGGGAACTTAACATCCCATCGTGCAGTCCTTTGGCTGTGAGAGACCTGGTTGAGAATAAATTTGCTCCCTCCAGAGGGACTGATCTTAGAAGCAGTCACTTACAGGGGGCCATATATCCCAGGAGATCATGCACTCACCTCTGCTTATACTAAGTGGTAGCCAGGTCTAAAATGCCCCTCATGTTACCCTCTGCCCTGTCCTGACTCCCTTCATTTCCCCCAATCCTGCTCCTCTGCAGGGCATGCCCTAATAAAGTGTTAATCTATAAACTCTGGCCCCAGGCTCTGCACAAAAACACAGATTAAGAAAATCCATTACCTATTAGAATTAGGCTTCTAGTTCCGAGAAGAACAAAGTTTACATAGCAAGCCTACCGATGTCCATTTCAATGAGGCTCATTTCTGCCAGTGTTCTGTCAATTTCAGCTTCTACACACATTACATTTTTGATCCTATTTCAATTCCATGGAGTAGACATTATTATTTTCAGACAACGGAGACCCATTAAATGGTAGAATTAGGACTTAAATTTGGTTCTCGTTAATTCCATCTCGCATGCTTTTCCATTATCTCAGATTATGGTAGGAGATACCCATGGAGATATCCAATGGAGATATCCATTCATTAAAATGAGAAAAATTCAAAGGTAAAGAACCCTCTCTTAAATCCTTTGTCTTTGCATCTTCCATGTATTCTTTCCACTATTTCTCTGTTTAAACCAAGAATCTATATTTTCTTCACACAAAAAATGATTAAGTTTCATAATAATGGGATTCCAAATAATGAAGCAAAATTTATAAAATGATTTTTGTGTAATAATTTATATAACATATAAAGTGCATCATATAGTCTCAAAAGATATAGGTTTTTTAAAGTGTTACTCTATGCATGTTTAAATAAAGGGCCATAATCAAGCAATAAAAATTAAAACTAGCAGTAAACTGTGCAGGTTATTTTTACATGCATTTCACATCTATAAATCCCTGTGCATCATTAAAATCCCAATGACAACTAAACAGTTAAAATAAACCACAGTTTTCCCACATAGCAAAGCAGTCACTTCTCATAAATGTTTAGTTCTTGGTTTTAAAGTTTAAATTTCTACCACCTATCTCTTTTGATAGCTAGTTAAATTATATTAACATCTGACACAGACTGATCCTTTCAATTTCATATCTAATCATTTCCCTATCCCTTTAACCTTGAAATATATTGCCCTAAAATTAATTTTACTTCAAAACGTTGCAGCAGTGTATCTAATTTTCTTATAACTGTAAGTTTTGCTGTGGCAAAGTTCAAAATTTGTAAGGAATCACATTGGAGTTCAATTTAACTTTCCTTTAATAGTTTACTTTCTTCACCTTCAAGCAGATTGAAGTTCTAATTTATATTCAGGAAACTTTTCACATACTTGTCTGTGTCTTTTTTCGACTACGTGCTCTGGGCTGTTTTGGGTAGTGTTGAAATGATTCCAATCCTGGAGCTGGGCTCCCAATCTGCACACTAATAACTCAGACTAAAAAACTGAACTTTACTACTTACCAGGAAATTCATATCCTGAGATTTTCTAGAGAGAGACTGTCCAGAGGACCAGTCAAAATGTCACTCAGGGAACAGGAACCATCTTCTTCGCATTTCTCTCGGGGTATCAACTATTTGTTTCTGATATAGCAAACATCCTATCCAGCAAAATGTAACTTCCGCAACTGACATCTTCACTCTTGCTTATGTGTCTAATAGTCTCACGTTCCTTAGACCCAGAAGGATACTAACATGTTGGTATTTGCAGTGGCTGTCAACCATTCCCCTGCAAGTCCAATCACATCTAGCCCACTGGAGAGCTGGTTAAAATAGCATGGATGTCCTAGAAAAAAAGACAAAATTGCAAATGGGTCAAAGTAAAAACACAAGGCTAAAAAGTAGTTAAATTTTATAGCAGTTTCTCAGTGAACAGGTATTATGGATCAAGCACACTTTACTTATTTCATTCAGTAAATATTCCTGAGCAATTATCATATGCAGGGACAATGCTGGGTATTGGGATCCAGTGGGCATACAAGGTGGACATAGCTGCTACCATGGGGATCTCACTGACTGGTGGAAGAAAAAGACAATAATCAAGTAATGACACAAATGTGTTTAATTACAGTAAAAATCACTACAAAGGAAAGGATCGGGATGTTATAAGACCATTCCTAGGGCATCCACAGCAGTCAGGGGAGCAGAAGAGGCAGTCTCCAGAGAAGGCTTCTTGGAGGAGGTGATCTTTCAGGGACAATTTGGTTGGTTTCCAAACAGTGGAGGAGGATTATTATGAGCAGAAGGAACAGCTATGAGAAGGCACTGAATTGAGAAGGGGCTTGAATGCCAATGCCAGAGTGAGGAGACCACCTAAAGCAGACCAAGGATGCGGTGTGTAAAGCTACCTCAGTGAATGGGGGATCAACCACCTAAAAGATAAAACAATTTTCCCTCCGAAGTTCCTTATCCATTTTTTGATTAAAACATCAAGTCCCTAGAGATTATCATACTAAGCAAAGTAACTCAAAGAAAGGCAAATACCATATGCTATCACCTATATGTGGAATCTAAAATATGACACAAATGAACTTATCTATGAAACAGAAACAGGCTCACAGACACGGAGAACAGACTTGTGGTTGCCAAGGGGGAGGGGGGTGGGGGGAGGGATGGAGTGGGAGTTTGGGCTTAGCAGGTGCAAACTATTATATATAGAATGGATAAACAACAAGGACCTATTGTATAGCACTGAAAGCAATATCCAATATCCTGTAATAAACCATAATGGAAAATAATTTTTAAAAAGCACCATAAAAAGATAAATAATTTCAACTAGGTTCTGAAGAACCTAGGGGCAGGACAGGAATAAAGACGCAGATGTAGAGAATGGACTTGAGGACACGGGGAGGGGGAAGGGTAAGCTGGGACGAAGTGAGAGAGTGGCATGGACATATATACACTACCAAATGCAAAATAGATAGCTAGTGGGAAGCAGCCACATAGCACAGGGAGATCAGCTCGGTGCTTTGTGACCACCTAGAGGGGTGGGATAGGGAGGGTGGGAGGGAGACGCAAGAGGGAGGAGAAATGGGGATAAATGTATATGTATATTCACTTTGTTGTACAGCAGAAACTAACACACCATTGTAAAGCAATTATACTCCAATAAAGATGTGAAAAAATAAAAATAAAAAAAAACAAACCATAGATAATTTCAACTATGAAAAAAACCAGGTCCCTCTTAAAATGATGTTTTGAAATTTTATATTAAGAAAGGATCACCAAACATTACTTGTCAAACTGAACAATCTATATTCAGCTCAGTTTAAATTAATCTTCCCCTCCTTAGCTCCAAAACGGATTGTTCTTTGCACTGGTTTTACACTATATCTTAAAGATGATGTGCATGATAGCTCTTTTTGAATCTCTTTTTTGCCTCTAGAGCCTGTTCAAATATCGTTTGCTCCTGGAAGTATCATTGCTTTAAGAGATTAAGAATCAAGTTACAACGATATTAATTT